TAAAAGAGCGAAGTGAAAGAGGAAAAGAGATAATTAAAAGGCCTCGGCCCCAGCCGAAGAAGCTTACCATCCTTAAACTTTCGGTTGAGGCCGACAGCTGCTAGCATGTTCTCTTGGAAAACATAATGCGTATCGGGGAGCCAAGTCTCCGGGATATGCTGCATTCGGCCGCTGCCCCCCCCGGTTCGGCAGCTTGCCGAAGATGTTCTGTTGATTAAGGTTCGGATCTGGCCCGTTATCTTCAGGGGGACCTAAACTTCCCATGTCGGGATCAGGCTCAACAAGATACCGGGGAGCGCTGAAGACGCAAGGGTGGCTCGGGTCCGTGGGTGCCCTAACCCAAATCCATTGACCTCTCCAGTCCTTGTCTGAAGAGTCGTTCGGCCACATGGTTAGGTACGGGGGCCGAGACTCGATCCGGTACCACCCAGAACCGTGACTTCCGTGCCCACTTTGAATATTTGGCACTAGCCGATGAAGCTTTTTGAAGCAGTGCAGGTTCGACACATACCTGAAGAACTTGCAGACCCATAAGTATGTCATCACCCTTCGGATGCTAATGGGAGTTAGCTGACATAGGGAAATATTGTAATGGATCAGCAAGTCTCGGATGAATACATCCAAAGGGAACCTCAGCCCATACTGAAGTTGTCTTGTGTATACCCCCACATACCCCGGGGGTGGGCGATGGATTCTATCGGATGCCACGGGCATTCGGCACCAATACCCATCAGCTTCAAGGATGCCGTAATGCAACTCAATTTGTTCGGCAAACCGATACTGTTCGGCATTCTCCACCCACCATGAGTAGGGGCGGTTCTTTATCATTGCCGAAGCTACTTCGGCATCCTCCCACTCCGAAAACCCGGGAAGGATATCCCAAAGGACAGCGGGAACTTCATCGTCCCGCCCAGAAGCGCTCGGCCCCTCCGTTCTCTGAGGAGGAGCCGAAGAAATGGGAGTCGCCCTAATCCCTTCAACAGGGTCAGACTCTGCTCTTTGTCCATTCCAGGTCCCAATCCTGTTCCTGGGATCGGGAATTGGCCTTGCTCTTCTTGGAGCACGGGCTCTACCTCTAATTCCTCTCACCATTGATGAATTTCGAAGGAAAAAGTTGAAAAAAGGGGAAGGAGTTCAAATTCGAAGAAAAATAAACTAAAATCAAAGGAATTTACCTTAATCTGAAGCGAAAGTTGCCGATTTACGAATTGGTAGTGACGAGTCTCAGTTTCTAAGCCTAATGCTCGGGGAATTTGCGAAGTTTTGATGCGGGTTCTTGGGTTCTCTCGAGAATTCTGGGTTTGTGTTGGTGAATAAGTGAGGAGAGATGACGCGCCTCTAATTATATCTCCAGAAATGGGAATACGGGGAGTCCGCGTTTCAATTTCTCTTAAATACCCCACTAAGTAACCGTTAAACACACGACCCTGCGATTAAACCGCCCATTATCCGTCCAACTTCCACAATTATTCGCCTTAACTGTTGTTATCTCATTAATTACCGTTTAATTACGGTTTAAATTCAAATTTTTTGGATTAATTAAATCATTCACTTCCCTCCTTTTCTAATTAAATCAAACCCGACCCGTCATCCTTCCAAATCGGGTCTGGGGGGCAAGTTGTTTGGGTCCAATTTAGTTCAATTGGGCCTAGTCATTAAATGATCCAATTAAAAGCCCAAGGTCAAGGTTCAACTCTCCAACCGTGCTAAAGTCAAAGATCAGTCCTCAAGGCAAGTCAATTGGGCTAAGGCCCATCTTCTCCATATATGCAAAGGTATAAAAGCCATCAATATTACATTTGTACATTCATTCAAAAAAAAGCCTCAAGCAATTAATTCTCTTGCATAGTGTTCTCTTTCTACACACTGTACTGATTTTACCATCGGAGGGGCCTTCCTCGGCAACACCCCCGAGGCTAGTTTACGTGTGTTTACTGTGCAGGAAACCTTCGGCCCAACATCACTTGGACCGAATACAGTCTTCTCCGCTTCATCGGACCTTCGACAAGGTCCCATTGATTTCACCCGAAACAATAATTATTATACATCCGTTGTAAATTTGTCTTAAAATAATCTGATGTTACCCTAAAATGAATTAAAGTCATAACATGCCCCAATATTAGCATAATGTATAAAAGTCATCCAATAAAAGTAATTTGCTTTATTTGTAAAGTAATTCTTTTTAATAGACTAAAATTCAAATCTTAGTGATTAAAAGTAGGTATACTAACGTTATAAAACTTATCAGCTTGTCTAGTCTATTTAAGGAGTACATTGAAATCATATGATGTTTAAACTTACTTAAAAAAAACAAATAGTTAGGCCCTGTTCTTTTGAGCTCAGAAGCTCAAAAGAACAAGGTCTACTTTAATATTGTTCAATGAACAGTACTACTACTTCTTAGACCTGATCAAGTTCGACCCGACCCGATTTTGGGTGGGTTTTGGACAGTTTTTTTTGGCCCGACCCGATTTTATAAAATTGGACGGGCTTGCAAAATCAATTTTATGCAATTTTAGTTATTTTTGGCCCGGCCCAATAAGCCCGCACGACTCGGTTATTTTGGACGGGTTGGACACATATATTTCGGCCCGAGGAATGGGCTCATTTTTTTGACCTCGGTCCAACCCGCCCATTGATTATCTCTACTATTACTATAAACTAGTGTATATAAAAGTTATAGTTTACCAAGTATTTATACGTTATTCAATTTATTTTAGCAAAGATATGGAGTAGAAGTTTAGATAATTCAATTTTAAATAATAATTCTTCCGTTCTAAATTAGTGACACATTTCTATATAAAAATTGTCAATGCAAAATATAATCGAAGATATCTTCAATTATATTGTTGTAAAAATACTAAAAATTAAATTCATTCAGTACACATTGAAATGAAATCTAACAAAATATCACTTAACTATGTTTATTCATATCTTTAAATCATGAATGTTAGTAAATTAAAGTCATCATTATGCAAAAATATTCATCTTTATAAATAAAATTCAAACATTGGGTCCTTAGTTAATGACAGAATTTCAAGTATCCAACGTTATTAGTTAAACATTAAAACTTCAAAAATTATGATTACCTTGTTGTTGGCGGCCCTAATGGACCTATAATCTGATGCTTTATTATTAGACCAAGATATAAGCCAGTGTCGTCGTTGCCTGCATACGCAACAGCGGCAGTAAGAGCACTACTAATAACTCGACCCGATTCTTTGGAATGCACAAAGACACCCCATCGTCCATTCTAAATAATAATGGGCAAAGGCGTTTCGCCGATGTCTCCATTCCATATATGGTACTCAAACAACCTTATAGGATCACCCGTTGCATTGTATTATTTTCGGTTCCATTGCGATAGACTTGGCTACTTACACAAGTTTCTTATCATTATGCAATTAAAATTACTGTATTATTTTCTTTTCTTGGGGAAGGCTAAGGACAAATGATGTGAAAGGGCTTTGATTTTAAATTTTGAGTACTACCCCTTGAAACTTTATTCAATTAAACTAGTTCAATCAACCTATCCAAATTAAAGTCATGTATTAGCTAGTTGATAATCCACAATATTATAACAAGTCATTTTGTTGAGACTGAATTAAAAGATTTTGTTACATATTATACACGAATGAAAAAGGAAGCTAATGAATGAAAGCAAAAGAACAAGGTGGGTGAATAATGAATATATTATAAAGAACAAAAAAAAATGAAGGTACTCGGTTGTCAATATAAACCTGATTCGTTCTAATAGTCTAATTGACATATAATTTCTTATTAAAACCTAACCTGTTATTGATTTATGACGGTTCGTGGTAATTGTTAGGCTCGATCGTTAATACGAAGAAGGTAAAAGTGTCAAATGTATCAAGTACATGATAGGCCTAACAGAAAAAGCAACCCTCGACGTTTATGACAAAAAGTCATTGGAGCAACAATCTACTACGGAGTACTGCTCATTATTCCACACGACCATACCAAATTAAACCAAAGTAAGGCACAAAAAGCCTAACTTAAAAGCAAGTCTTTGTGAGACATAGGAATTTGGAAATTTAAGTTACTCTTAGATCATGTCTAGGGCGGATAATGTAAAGTCACAAAATAGTTCATTAGTCTCCTATTGCTACATTATCAAATAAATTTTGCTTGTAAATCTAACGCTTCTGATAAAGTCAATGTTGCTTCCATTGCAGAGATTTTCTCACCCCCAGTTGAAACACCTATCCCTCCCTCATTATACTTCGACCATTGGAGTCGAGTAAGTCGAAAACTGCCCATTCACCTTTATTCCCATACTCATCTTTACAATGAATTAATGAGTAGACCTGCAAATCAAAACAGAAGACTTTACTAGGTAATCTGAAGACTTTACTAGGTGATTGCAATGAATTAATTAGTTATTTAACGTTCCGGGCACTTGTTTTTAGCAAGATCCGTAAGTTTATTCAACTAAATAAGGTGAAATGAATAGAGCGTGACATGTGTAATCAATTAATTAATTTTAGCGAGCTAAACTTATTTTTAGCTAGCAAAAAATAGGGCAACACATGAAGCTTCAAACAGGCAAATATATTACAATTAAAAAGGAACAAATAATAATTTCATGATATTTGAAGTTTATGAATACCTTGTTGTAGCTTTTTGCTGCGTTGTTAGACCAAGATATGACCCAGTAACGTAGCTCCTCATTATTGATCATGCCAGAATATATGTTAGAGGTCCATTTCAACCAAAAGCTTAAGCTGATGGTTGAGGCCCAGGAATACGTTTTATACTCTATTACGCCCCCTCACACGAGAGTCCATTGGGCTAGAAGTGTGGATGCAGCATGGGCCCTCCTCATACCCAGCGCTTGATATTCCACTTGAAAGTGCGATGTAGAGGAGATTCGAACCCATGACCTTTGTGTCGCGTTGGCTCCGATACCATGTTAGAGGACCATTTCAACCAAAAGCTTAAGTTGATGGTTGAGGCCCAGGAATACGTTTTATACTCTATCAATACACAAGGGCACCAACAGAACTTGCTTGATACCTATCTCCGATGTGTACGAACACGTCCCGTTGCCCGTTTAGAAGTATAGTAGGGAAAGGTGATTCGCCGAGGTGTCCAACCTTATTTTTGTACCTTTCCAATGTTATAGGACATCCAGTTGCATTGTGAATCATACATTTGGTGGCAGCGCTACTACCACAACGATCAACCAGATTAGTGGCGAAGTTGTGAGCACTCACATCCTTACCATCAGTGTTCTTCATACACATTGCTGCCTTAGCTCGGTCCTTTTGGGTCAGAGTTTTCTTGTCTTGGTATTCCTTCATCCCTTTCAATGTTTCCTTTGTGATGGGAACTCCAAATACGTTTGCCATTCTGCGAATCCTAGCAAAATTATTCAAAATTTAGGATTTAAATTATATGTATGCAGTATTATGTACTTCTATTCGAATTGTTTAAGCATCATACGCAGTCACATTGAGAATTATATATGTAAACATGCATCTAGTAAGTTTACAAAGTTTAAAACACCAATAAAAATTACACACATCCTTGATTACAAGCTATACAGTACAATTTAGAAGAAAGTTGCAATGGGACAATTATTTTTGAGGATGGAAGAGTAAGAATTAGAATAACATTTGTAACATCTGTATACGTACAAAAGTCTAACAAGATCTTCGTCTATAAATTTTCTTGAGTAAAAATCCATCCATTTGAACACAAGAAATAGTATGTGGACAGTGAACAATTACACACATTCTGCATACATAAAAGATTAGTAATAATAAATGAATTTCCGTTACAAAATTCAGGAGAAACCATGCTTGAGCGGAACTTGTGACTGTGAGAACAACCTATTAACAACATACTCGTACTAAAAAGAATCCATACAAGGCACGACTTGTACGTCATAGACTCGTAGCACATTTAAACATTAATCCTAATATAAACTGTACGTCGTACCACAACAAACCTGAATCCTAATATGAATTGACAAGTATAAGGAAAAAGACATATTAATTACCGAATCGCTTATGATGAAGGATATTCAACTCCAAAAACAAAGTAAACCCCGTAATTTATATAGACTGTTGAGATGAAACTATGAAAGTATAATCGTTGAAAATTGAAAGGTCTTAAACATGAATGAATATCAAAAATGAAAATAATTCATTGCTCCCCTAATAATGCTCTATAACTAGTGTGTAGCTCAGGCGTTGCACCGAATTGCTACTTTAATTATTCCTTGTGATTATATGTATTTCATATTAATAATATCTTTTTTATTTTAATTAGATCGTGTGATTATCAATTATATACATTTATTTTCATGCATAATGATTCAGGTTGATTGAGTAGTGATGATGTGACATAATGAGAGATGGAATAGGTGACGTAGCGTGGTTTACGTGGCACAGAGACGTTTTTAGTAACGTCTTTTAATATATTAGTATAGATTGGAATACTCTTATAGTCCTATTCATTAATCCAAATACTCTGTATCTTTTTCCAATGGTATCACCAATTGATGCTTCATATATTTTCGATTCCAAATTAATCAATTAATTAATGACCATCTTTTACCAATGCATTAAACGTCTTTTCCCTTCCCCTTTTTTTCTAAAGGACTATTCATTTCTGTTTGAAGTGTTGTTTGAGAATTTTCTGAAAAAAAAAAAGATAAAAAGAGTGCTGTTTCTGTATTAGGTCATGTTTTATACTCGTATTACCCTCCAATTAGTCCATTCCATGAAGTTCTTAACATGATAAAAATACAGTATTAGGTCTTGTCTATATTCGTGATTCAATGGATTTACGATGATCTCAGATCAAGTAATAAGCCGTGTACCAATTTGGATGTGTAATTTCTTTTTTTTTTTTTTTTTTGTTCGATGTGTAATTTCAATGTTGCCATTTATTACCACCGATCAATAAACAGAATGTCAACATGAGAATAAGCTCTGGATGACCACAAAATAACGCAACGAGTAGTACTGTTCTGGACCTTCTGGTGCAACAAGAACAGTACGTACAAGGTTTGCAACCATACAAATAAAATAACGCATGGTCAAGTAAGTTTACAAGCCTCATGGACTTTGGGGCTGCACAATAAACACCCATAAAGCACGTGATACACTCCCATCTCCGGTTAGTATGGTAATCCTCAATACTGCGGCTAACTTAACAAATGCAACCAAAGCACACAACCTGAGAATTTTTTTTGTTTTTTTTTTGGTTAAATGCTAACCTGATGAAGCAGCATTTTTCAATTGAGGCTAGGAACAAACTACCGTAAGCCATCCTTTTCTACCTGATCCAAGACTTCTGGATCACGTTTACGTTTCTTCAATCTGCAGATTCACTCTCCTCGGACAAGGACAAGGTAGCTCCACTATGATCTTGTTCTTGTGCACGCTGCAATCCAAAACACATCTCCCAAATCCCAAGTTAAATTTCAGGGATTTTTCTCCAAATAGCAGATGAGAATCCACAGATCAAGCCTTCTTGTAAGTAAGGCATTACAAATGGTTTGTGCCAGAATTTTCAGCTCAACATTGATTGTGCAAATCTTCTTCCCCCCTTGGTGATGCATTGGTTTCGTGAAACTCTGCTGAAACTATTGGTGGGGGACGTAGCTCAACAAATGCTTTTCTACCTTCACCGACAGTTCCTATACATATTGTGTCGCCCCGCCCATGCCAAGTGCCTCCTTGAACATTGTTCATCTCCAATGTCCTAGATTCCTGCATTAGAATTCATGAAAAGCTGTCAAACCCAATTGGGAATGGGGATCCAGATTTTTTTTTATTTTTTCAGGGGTCCAAAAGAGTATCTTCCAAGTTTCGACATATTGTTTCTTACACGATATTATAATTTCAAGTCAGTAAGATGTATAGACTAGTTGAGCCAAATTAAAAATACTAGTTGGGGTCCAGAGAAATGAGTAATGATAGCACTAAGGCTTTACACAACTTTTTTGAATCAATTGCATTTTCTTTTACTTCTCTATTCTAGTGTAAAGTTGTAAACATAGAATTTGACAACCAAAACATGCAGAGGCATACCTGACATAAGGTGCAGCAAGGGCAAATCAGATGGTAAACACAATCATCCACTGAATTGTCGCTACCCTACAGTTAAAAGCAATTTTAAAGAATCAGTATAGCTCTGCTGACAAAAATAATACAGGCACAGATATAAAATTAAGAATGAGAATTGATCAAGGGATATTTGATACATTCATTTATGACGTAAGTTTAATATTCACACCCAAAACCAAAATCAGAAATCAAATTTAGCTATGAGAAGATTTGTAGCTGCATCACATTTATGACAAAACCACAAAAGGACAAGACGTCGATTCAGAGAAGCAATCCCCCCTAATTGTAAATAGAATCCATATACGTTATGGATGTTACAGGCTATGTGAGGCAGGCAAAAGATTTGTTTCTGTATGTAATGTTCCGCAAACCTCTCACCTGGATATTTACTTGCTACAACTAGGTTTTAGCTGAAGGTTATAACTTAGTAAGCACTCAAGTTTCCACTATTGTTTCATGTCAAACAATTTGTGATTGATGTCGGGTGGTCAAAAACTCAGAGCCAAACTGAATAAGATAAATCTCCATGCCTCCCATGAACTGGGAAGATTAGACAAAGGTAAAAGGGATATATAGTCGATTTAGCTTGTGAATCCTTTTACTCCAGTAATGGCAAACTGACAATGAGACAAGATCCAAGCATATGTTTCAAGCGAACATAGCACACAATAAAAGCTAATGAAAATAATTGGTTTTAAAAAATTCCACTTATGCATCAAGAACATCATCAGAAACTGACAACAAGAACAATGAATAAAGAAACTTATAAGGCAAAAAAAAATTCAAAAAAAATTCAAAAATTGGGAAAAATTGGGACAGTGGAACAAGCTTCACCAAGTAAATAACATGATAAAAGACATTTAAGGGATTGATGGAAAGAACCTTCCCTAAGGGAAGCATGGTAAGGCCAAGGTAAAAACCATTATTGCAAACAAAACAAATAAAGAGATACTCACCCTAATATTAAACTTCTTTCTTATCTGCGTGCGGAAGAAGCCCAAGTATGTTCCCACGGACATGGTAAATGCGATAGTCAAATAAAGGAAACAGCGTCTCCTGGTTACTATGAAGGCAAAACAGCTGAGAACTACTGACATGGCTAGAATGAAACAGAGACCTCCCTGCAGTACCACAACAATTTCCTACTTCAGAACAAACTTACAATGCACAAAAAAAGGAACAGCGAAGTTTATAAGATTTATTGCCTTATTGGAAGATAAAAGCATTCTTTACAAAGGCATGGTAACCACTTTTAAACTCAGAATTTATCATACAACAATCCCCTGATCACATTATGATTAGGTTAAAACAACCTCAAATTTGGATTAAAGATTTCTACAAACAATGAAGTGTATATAGAGTAACGCCTTATTCATCCAAGTTCTTAGCAAATTGCTATGTTCTATAAACACACTCAGCAATCTACCTAGAGACCAGCAAAAAGCATCAAAGGGAAAAACCCAACCTCATCTGGATTTGATCCTAATAGTTAACTAATAAAATGGCTGTTATGAAAGGGGTAGACATTCTAGACAACCAAATTCCAATTATGCAGAATGTTCGGTGTCCGGTCAAAATACTTTGTAATGATGCATTAAATAGAAGCACAATACAGAAAGCCTATTCATAGTTGCCATTAACAGAACACTAAGATTACATTTCAAAAGATCAGGGATTTTATCTACTCTTGATAAGCATTGGGTTTAAAGACCACCAGTTCAAAAGTACATAATTAGACATAAACAAAGTTGTTTTTTCTCCAGGTCTTAAGAATTTCTTCTTGGCAACTCATTTTAGTTATCGAGAGCATAGTCTGACTCCTAAAACGCATCTATTCCAACCCTACTGGCTTATAGCCTCTAGGAATAAAAGGTGATATACGTAGTTTTGCTGTGCAGACCATCATGGCTCATGAGGTTTACATTTTACTAGAGATATATTCTTCATGTTGTGCCTTGTTAGGCTAGACTTCAGTGTTCAAACCTCTTCGTCAGACCAAATGTACGGGACAATTTTGTGGAAGATAATTTATGACCTTCCTCTATGGAAGTCTATAATGAGTCATCAGGCCTTATTCAGATTCTAAATTAACCTAGATCTAACTTTGACAAACAGTTCCACATTCTAGCAAATAAGGTAAGACCTACTAGGAAGTTAGAGATCGCTCCAAATCAAGGAATTCCCTTTTTAAGTTCATAAAATACTTTGATCAGTAACAGCCTTAACTACATCAGGCGTCACAGTTCCATAATTAACAAGGCTCTCTTTCA